CTTCTAGATAGTTAGTTGTTATGTATTGCAAAAACATCCCACAAAAAAACTTATTTTTCTTCTCCTAGTGACTTCAATAGTGGTAATAATAGTATTGTTAATTCGTAATTGAAAACATACTTATCCAATGAAAGAAGATATGTTTAGTCCAACATTATATTTATTTAGATGACGATCATGTACTCTTAAAAATAAGTAAGTTTAAGATCTAATTTAAAAGTTATTACTAAAAAAAATCTTGATAATTCTTGTTTATATAAATTATTTTAGAGCTTAGCTTTCGCGTGAGTGGAGAGACGGGGAACTCGGTTGAGTAGATTTTTTCATATTACTATAGTCAATGTAACATGTCTAAATTAATTATAGATTGAGATTAAAAAGTGAAGGTATTAAAAATATTATATTATATATATTTAATTTTTTATTTTATTTAATTAGTTATTATATTTATTTTTTGGTCATGTTCAAATGGAAATAAAATTTATTTTCAATTATTTTTTATGATCAAGATGAAGAGGCTAAAGAAGCAAGTTTTTAATAACAATTTTATTTTTATATCAAATTCTATTATATTTTCTATTTTTTATTAGTCTGTTGGTTTATACGTTATTATTATCTCTTCTTGTAGTATAAGTGAAGGTAGACCATGGATATAAATTTAAAATTTTGAAGTATGAAAATTTGAAGTTTATCTTGTCTAACTTTATATGGAATTTTAACTTGATGTGCAATTTTTGATTAAGAAAATGATAATTTGGTGTTTCAATTATATTTGTGCAGTTTGAATTATAAAATTAAATTACGTTTTTGGAGTTATTTATAATATCGCGATTTATATGTGGATTATGTAGTGTGTACTCTTGATGTGGATGCCATAATTTTAAATAGAAATTTAGTTTTTATGTAAATTCTGAATTATGAGAGGTTACATGTAGAATTTGAATTTAATATTAATATAAATGAATTAATCAAAATTTTAGGTGGAATATGATTCTTGTAAATGCGTCGTATAAGAGTTAGTTCATGTAGGGTAATGAATTGCTCAGTTTGAGATGAGTTTAGTTTGATAATATTACCTGCTTAACAATTTTGTTGGTTCAAGTCTTTCAAAATACTTTATATATTCGAATTTATTGGAGCAAATAAACCCTATCCTGAGTTTGATAAAAGTTTAAATTTTACAATATGAATTCTGTGAAACTACCTTGACTATAGGGACATAGGTGTGTTTAATCAAACTGATTTTTTAAATTATTTTTATTAATCAATTGGAACTTTTTGTTTTAGTTAGAAGGGTTATTATAATATGGTTTTTAGTTAATTTTCATATTTAAATTTTTAGAACAAAATTGATTGAAAAATTGAAGATTTGCAATTTTTTATTATTTAATATATTATGAATATAAATATTATATTTATATTAATTGATATTTTAATATTATTATACAATATATAATATATTAATTTTTTATAAACATATCCAAGTACATATGTGTATAAGAATTTTTTGGACTAAAAATTGAACTGATAGAACCAATTTGGTTAGTTCAATTTTTCGTTCAGCATATACATTTGTGTGGGTCAATCAATTTGGTCACATAATTCATTCGTTATTCAATTTTCTAAAAAATTTCAAATAAAACGGCTTCGCTTCAAAATTTTAAGTATACGTACTGTTGTCTGCGGATAAAAATGGAACGTTAGTAGTTGGGAGTGGACGAAATTGAAGGCGTCAATTTTACCTTGAAAATTTACAGACGACGACGACGAGGTCACAGGAGTAAATCACTTCACTCTCACTCGCAAACGACAACCTCATTTGTGCCTGGTGATTGTTATCAGAAAAGTAAAGAGACATGGAGGGGGAAGACGAAGCTGCCATAGCTAAGACGCTGAGCGTTAACAAGGATAAGGAAGCGCAAATGCAGGCACAGTCAAGCCTTTACGAAGCGTACAGTGAGCTTCACGGGCTAGCACAGGAGTTGGGGACGCCATTCCAGGCGCCGGCGGTGCTGGTCGTCGGACATCAAACGGACGGCAAGAGCGCTCTGGTCGAAGCCCTTATGGGCTTCCAATTCAACCACGTCGGTGGCGGTACCAAGACTCGCCGCCCTATTACCCTCCATATGAAGTACGATCCTGACTGCCACCTTCCTGTTTGTCACCTTGTCTCTGATGATGATCCCACAATTGCTCACCACAAAACCCTTGCCGAAATTCAGGCATGCTTTTTCTCTATGCTTGTTTGCTTATTTGTACCAGTGTTAGGAATTTCTGTACCATGTCTTTTTAAGTCGTTAATGTACGGTTCTAGCTGCAGTGAGGTTTGAATTCCAGTTATATATGATTTATGGCGTTGCTGAAAAATATATACTCATTGTAATTAATTGAATAAGTGTTTTCTCTAGGCGTATATTGAAGCTGAAAACATGAGGCTTGAGCGAGAAACGTGTAATTTCTCAGCCAAGGAAATAGTTATCAAAGTGGAGTATAAGTATTGTCCAAATCTTACTATCATTGACACTCCAGGTCTCATTGCTCCTGCTCCAGGCCAAAAGAATCGAGCATTACAGGTCCTTTGGCTTTCCAATGAACTCTTGAACTCCTCCTTTTCGAGGATAGTGAACCTTCAACTTGGTTTTCCTTATTTTTCATGTCATTTTTTATTGTTAGATGTACTGAAAGTGTCTTGTAAACACTGGAAAGTTGTTATTGCCTACTTGTAGGGCCAAGCTCGAGCATTGGAGTCCCTTGTTCGAGCAAAAATGCAGCATAAAGAATTCATTATATTATGTCTTGAAGATTGCAGTGACTGGAGTAATGCAACCACTCGAAGAGTGGTAATGCAAGTATGTTTCCTAAGCATTCCTAAGCATGTTATTTATTTATTTCCTGATTTTTCACCATGTAGACTATTGTCAAAAGGGAAGGGATGTTCGTTTTTGCATCCCACTCTCATCATCAAAGAAATTGATGTTACTAGCATGCTGTTTCTTGCAATAGTACAATCAACATGGGAATCCTAAACCTGTGGCAAATGGAATATATGTATTATTACAACTATTATGCTAAGAAAG